TTACGGTTCTTTTGACGCGATTTGGTACTTTTAAGTGTTGAAGATCAGTATAAATATCGATGTTAATGTGGGTAAAAGGCATTTATTTAATCAGGATTAGAGTAGTTATTTTATCGCGGTATCGCGGCAAGAGTTTTAGAGCTAAGATTTGCTTATCAAAAATCTTCGAATGTAAAATAAATCAATAAAATTTTTTAAACTTTTTCCTATTATTTTTTTACAGTTCTGTAATAACTATTAGCTTTCCCTCTAATCTAGCAATAATTATAGATAATATTATTTAGTAGTGTGTAGAAACAAGTAACACAAACGCAAAAGAAAATAAAAACATCTAAAAATGGAATTTAAAATCTCACAAAATTTTAAATAAAAATTGAAAATACATTAAAAGGAACTCAGTGCACTAAACTACATTAAAAATATTTATTTAAAATCGGAAGCGATCCTAAATGGTCGATCACTCAATAAATCTTAAATCATTTCTCAAGTACGCTAAGGTCTAAGTAACACTTCGGGTAACAAAGATTGAAGGTGTTAAGGCAACAAGAATCAGCGTAATATTTGTAAATTTAAAGCAGAAGACTTTCACTTCTGCATCTGAAGAAGAAGGTTATATGTTTAAACCTTCGAAACTAGTCTTGGAAATTTACGAATATTACGCTGATTCTTGTTGCCTTAATACCTCCAATAAACTCTAGTATCTATCAAAAATGTTTTCGGATAGTGATGGGCAGCATTCAGTGTGTTTGGTATTTATTTCTTCGGGATCACATGACACTTAGTTAGGGATCACATGACACTTCGGGATCACATGACACTAAGAAAGAAGTCAAATGTGTATAAATAATCTGAGAATAGTTATGTCCCATCTTTAAACGAGAAATTACAACAGCATATCCTCTTAGGCTCATATCGCACATGCATTTGTTTCATACGAGCAACTGTTTCGGACAATTGTTCTGTCTATTTTACTATTGAAAGAAAGACGAGCGATTTTTTCTTTCCTTTCGCAAAAAATTGCATGTTGTTCGTTTCCAACCAATCAAGCTATCAGCTTGTTTGTAACGGAGACCCACTATTCCTTTTACATGTTAACCCCAAAGTGATCTGTGGTGATTGGCTGTTGTGACAAAGCAGAAAAAAAATCTCAAACAGTTGTTCTTCCAAAACAAAGGGATGTGCGATAGCAGTCTTAGGAAACCAGGAATTTATCGAATGAGAGTTTTCAGTTATTTCCTCTGATTTGTTCCATTTGTATAGTTTTATAATTTTTATTCATCGTATCTTTTATAAGTCCTGCTACAGCTGAAAATAGTATTGCATTTAAAAATGGCTGCGCAATACCTATCCCGGAAACAATTTCCGGCGCAGGTTACAGATTGAACTACGGAGAGCACTCATTAGAACCCCATGAGTCCCACATACAAGTAAATCTAACATAAACGATACCCCCACTGAAACACCATAGAGGTTTTTCCTACCTCCAATGTGTGAAACGCATGCACCCGCCCCTTAGGAGGACATGCAAAGCCATCCACTTGTAATTCAGACCGACAGGACTAGCCTCTCTGTGGCACAATTAGCAACGCAGCTTTCAGATGGAATGCAAATTGTTCACTTATTTTGCAGTTTTTCTATATTTAGTACCAAGATTATTTGATACATTTGTTTACATAAAACTCTTTCTGTTTAATTATGGCATATTACGTACATTACGTGAACATAATCAGATTATGTAGTGACTGCTTAATCTGCACTTAAAAGTTAATCATACAAAATTACATTGCGTAATATGAATCACATATACCCATTATTACATTGCAAGATATGAGTCACATATTATTTCCCACTGCAATAAAAACTGAATGAGAAGAGAAAACAGCCTTAACAAATACAAATAATAATTGTTATAACTAATAATTATAATAAGTGCATAAATATTCTTATAGCTATTAGTATTTACAGTTATATGGCATAGAAATTTTAGAATGATGACATATTCACATATCGTATTTTGGTATATGTTCAATCTAAGTAATCTTATGCAATATAAACTAAACAAATCATAAGAGATTCGCGCAAAAAATTACAAATAATATTGAACACTAGTATATAAAATAACAGTTGAAGCTGCACTGAAAATCCAGATGGATAAGTAGGTAAAACAAAATTCTCATTGTTAATATGATCTTAATTCCGCATGAAAAAAAGATATACTGTGCGCACTATGAAATTCCTTTCCTGATAGTAGTGTTTATCTACATTTAGTATTGGAATTTGTTCGCTGTATAATTTTAGTATCATGTATATTAACATGTTAATAGCATTTACATATTCATCCAGAAATATTAATTAGAAGATAAATAATAAGAGACAGTTTACAATTACAAATAATAATTGTACTGAAGCAATACTAAAAATAAATTATTAATATTGAAATACTCCTAAAAATTACATATATTAATATCGTTTAATTCTCTTCAGAAGAATATATATATATATATATATATATTAATCTAATGTTGCTCACTTGCACTTGCCTATTCAGCACCTTCAGTGGAATATTTGGTGCAGTTCTGCATAGCTGCTCGATATTGCTTAAAATAAAGGATGAAATGTGTTTAATTCGTACGTTAGAAATAAAAATTTAATCATTGTATTTCTGATTAATTTCAGCGCAAGCAAGTTGAACAGCTCTAATCTAGTACTGATTTCATACTGTTCAATACACTGAACACAATAATAAACAAAAGTATTAATGGCAGATTATGATGCTACTAGAGATTGAGATTAAAAAATGAGCTTTAAACTGCGGCTTACATATCTTCTCTTTTAGCTAAGAATTGGATGGTTTGATTTATTTAATTATGCGAAAGCACTCGAGGGCTATCTGTCTAAGGGAAGGGATGCCTTCGTGGAGGACTTTCTAACAAAGAATTGGATAATGTTTTCTATTTTTCCTTTAGTTGTCGATTCGAAATGGCAAAAATTCAGGCGTTTTCTCTTGGTTCCTTAAAGTGGTATTCCGAAGCGAAGAGACACGTAAAAATGTAATATTCAGGATCGTCCTTTTCTCCGCACGTACATATCTGCGAGTGAAATGTTTTTCTCATTAAAATGTGCTGGAAAAGGGCCGTTACCTGCAGTGTATCAGTTCATCTGGGCATTCCGTATTCCTGTAGTGTATCAATTCATCTGGGCATTCCGTATTCAATCTTGCTTCTTCTGTATTTTTATAAAAAAGGAATGTTCTTCTGCACTGAGTTACTTCTCTCCAGAAATTTTTCTGGAGAGAAGTATTTTCTTAGCATAAAATCTTGAATGTTTGCTTTTAAATATGATTCGTGCCAGGGTTTATAATCTGGCTGTGCTTTATCATTACAAGCCGCATTTTTGGCAAGGCAACCTGCTTTTTCATTCTTCTTGTTACCAGCATGCGCTTACACATATTCAATGCATATTTTTATTCTCTTATTGTTTCTTACTGTTGTAAGTATTTTCTGCACAACTGGGATCTTATGCTGAATATTCTTTAAAGTGTATATTGAGGATAGAGAATTTGTTTTAATTATGAATAGTTTAATTTTGTTTTCGATGGCGTAGTTTAAAGCTCATTTTTTAATCTCAATCTCTAGTTTATTCAATTACGCTTAATCTGCTTAAGTATAGTATTGCCTGTGGATATGTGGAACTTTTTCTCTGTAATCTCATTTGGGGTCTGTACAACACACAGACTGTTCCCACACCATCTTCGCAATTGCATCTATCGAGGTATGCTTGTGAGAAAGAATGTAATACAAGTGAGGCTTTACATTTTAATTAGAAGTCCGTATTTTTAGCCGAGTGAAGTTCATATTTATGTGCCGGAAGTTCATAATACCATAAAATTATGTCATTCATTGGAGACGTAATTTTCGAAATCTATGTTCTCTCTCATAAATGATAGACTAATGAAGTGATATATTCTTTCATTGCTGCCAGAACGAGGGAGAGATCCAGTAAAAGAAGAAAGTGCTGCATTTCTGTAGCACCTTGTAATGTTCAGGAGGAATGGCCTCTGAATGGCTTGTAGTTTCTTCTTTTTTCTTTCAGTCATTGGCATTACCCGTGCGCTGCTTCATAGGCTGCAATTTTTCTGTTTTGCAAAGCATGTGAACAACCAATTGTTTCACATTACAATAACTCACCAAGTTTTAAATTTTAGTCATGCCTTGTCGGCCGCCTACTGCGTGGATTACTAAAGAAATGAGAAAATCTCATTGCTTTTTTCTTTAGACGGTAATGAGGGAGGTACACATGGACTGTCTGCCTAAGGGAAGATATAGTTTAAAGGAGAATTTCTTAAGTAAAACTGGCTAGTATTCATGTTATACATGCAAAAAATAATTGAACAGCCCCCGACAAAACTTATTTTAACTTGAGATTATTTTGATGAAGGAAATTTTAATTAAAATTTTCAAAGTTGATGAATAAGTAGGAGTTAAGTTAATAATTCCTCCAGTGAAAAAGGAATTAAAATATTCAAAATAGTTCCTAATTCCTATAGTCACTCCAAATATTAGTGGAAATATGCCAGCCTGTAAAGTGCACACTTTGTAAATTGCATTCGTGTTAAGTAATGTAGGCTGTAGTTATAAATAAAGATTTTAGCTGTATTTACTTTCTGACTGTCCAATACAGTATTAACTGCAAAGTAAATGTGTCAGAACGATAACTACCCCTAGATGCTTATGTCCTGACTATATAGAAACAGCATAAGAGTAATTTAAAGAGCTGCACTTTACTGCGTTACCGCTGTATCTTCATTCTCTAATGTTATTTGCAATTTCTATATCTTCCAAGAATTCTTTGAAAAGCCGAAAATATTAATAAATGTATGGCATTGTTAAATAAAATAATTATGGGTAAGAAAACTATTATTTATGTCATTCTGTATGTAGCTTGTTTTGAATGTTTGTAAATGAAGTAATTATTTTTTTCTTTTGTTCTCACTATTTTAGCACTGAATTGCAAAAGTTATCGAACACAACATACCTTCTCGATACACTGCTATCAGAAGACAAGTACGACAGGCGAATTCGACCAGGAATTGGTGGTATGTAACCCAGCTGTTAATTTTTCTATATATTTGCTTAGAATTTGTCGAAGCCCAAAAGAACTTAAATGCTTTCATATAAAGCTACTATTAAATCAAATAAATTCAACTAATTTTCCAAAATATTTGAAATACCAGTATGAGAAATTATTTTCCATAACACAAAACAGGATAAAGATGGGTATCAATCTGCACAACTTTACATTCGTAAATTGACGTGATGGAAATAGAAAGAAATTCTGTAGCAAACACAGAAGTTAAAAGATAAATAATAACAAGCTTCCCATTTCTACTAAAGTCTGAGACTCCTCAATTTCCCATCACAAATTCTGTGTTACATGAGTTGCCTAAAACATTATCCTTAGCTTACATACCATTCTGGCAGAAATTACTGACGTTTAATACCAACGTCCTGATTGCCCTTATGAAATATGTACAGTGCTTAGGTCTTCTTAAATACATTCACTTATCTTTATCTGTACATTTCTCTTTGAACAAATTTTGAAATGAGTGAAGTGCATCTGCGATAATAAAAACAGTTGATTTCCATCCAAGCTCCCAGACCTTTAGATTACATTAATTTCCAATCGATTTCAGTTTCTTCTATGATTTTCTGTTTTCATATTAGTTTACTGGCGTATATTATTAATTTCAAACCTTTAAAAAATAATGGTTAAAATGTAATACTTTGCTTAATTTCATAGTAATTCCTTAGAGCTGATTTCATTGTCGGAGATAGAAGATAATTAAATAAGTCACTTTTCAATTTAATCTTGTTTTCCTTCATCGGTCTATCAAATGAATAAATGTCATTTATTTATTTGATCGTGGTATATATATATATATATATATTGATGGATATATAGCTAAGTAGATATATATATTGATGGATAGATAGCTAAGTAGATAGATATATATATAAAATATTTAATATACGTTAAATTAAACAGTTTTTTAAGATTAAGGTTCAGTATAATAGTTTATCTGTTAATATAAGCCTATAGATCTGTTTAAATGCGCGGGATTCAAAAGTCTTAAGAATAATCCTGCAATGACCATTCCGAAAATCCTTTATAAGTAAGAAAGCTTCAGTGAAGCTGTTTATCCTAAAAGCACTTCTTGAAACAACACCCGACAAAAGACGTAAATTAGAATAGTTTTTCAGAGAGAGAAATCAAACATTTGTTCAGAATCATGGATGAAAACGAATCATTGAAGAACAAGAATTCATTGAAGCCACAGATAAGCTAAAGGCTCATTTTTAACAGTGAAGCCTCATTAGCAATTTAAATATAATCTGAACTTGATTCATAATCCGTAGTATAGTAAACGGGTGATATTTAGAGTGAAATCTTGTACATTAATGATGTTTAATGCGTAGAACTGAATATTTTTTTTTTCAAAATATTTTTTCGCACACGGATTTTTTTAAACATATAAAAGCATTTTACCAGTAGAAATGAATTAAAACCTGAATGTTACTTTCTCTTCATATTGTCAACGCTGCTGTATACCTAAATATTTCTCCGAGGAGAGCAAGCTACCTTGAAGCAAACGTGAAGGGAAAGAGCTTACATTAATTACACATTAATAAAATAATTACATAAAATTACACATTAATTTCATAAAATTACACATTAAGTTCTATTAAAAAAACATTTCAGTCTTTTTTATATATTCGTGAAAACAGTAAATTACGAATTGTAACTTGTGTTAAAATTTTTACTTTAAATACATTTATTTACGGAACTTTTAGTGATTAAGATGAAAAGGACATGAATATCCTGTTTTGTGAGCAAGCGTTAATAAATTGTTCAACAAGTACTTAAACATCTAATTAACATTTTCACATGTTGAGGGAATTACTTCTCATAAAATTAATGACACAAGGCAAAATAATAGTATACGCCTATTTTTATGACTTAAAAAAGAAACTGCTATAAATTGTATTCCATTGATTCCTTGCGGAAAACTATTATAAATCGTATTCCACGGTAAAACTAATAAACAACTTTTAAACTGTTACGTTCATGTTGTTCATATGCAGATTAGCAAACATTTATTGTTTTTACTTGGAAGACATTTAGGCTGTTGTGGAAGTATAGGTATAATTTATAGAAGGATTTAATTCTTTGCCAACTTACACCTAAATCATTCCGAATGTGTGCTCCTTTATACTTGTAAGGGCAAAGTAACTTAAAAATAGACGAAAATGAGGTATTGTAATTTGCAGAAGTGTTTAACAAAATATTGATAAGTGCTGAAAATTATTTAAAAATAGTTAATTCATGAAGTAATAGGCAAATGATATATTATTTAATCTGTAACGTTGCGCGCCTCCAACTTGCACGCAACCAAGGGGTGACTGTGAAAACTGGATAAAAGACAGAGTCTTGTAAAGGGTTTAAGTCCCTTTTTATTCAACGTAAAACTTTACAATTGCGTGCTCTTGACGCTCACAGACTGCGCCAACTCGGCGGTCAAATAAAAATAATAACCTGAAAAGAAACTAAAGACAAGACTCTAACTACGAGGCTCTCTAAACTAACTAACTCACCGCGTTTTACAATACCGCTGCTAATTCAGCAGACTTGAAGCTCACTTGAACGATTAACACTACTTCCCGCCAAGCACATAGGCCGAAACGCGGGGTTCTTCAATTTCTCGCTAACTACCTCCGCGCTCGTGAAGTAAGAATATCACACACCTAACTCGTTTCCTTACTATTTAAATCATAATACTTCCGCTGATAATTTGAATCCTTGCGCGTTCTACTCAAATTTACATATTCTGGCATTGGCAGTTCCAGGGGAAAGTAAGGCTTGACAGGAAAGATAGTTTAAACTTAAAATAAATGTTAGTTAAAATAAATATAAACCCTACAAATCTTTAAAAGGCGTATTTTTTAATTTAATATCATTCTTTCTGTTTCCTCATTTCGTCCATTCTCATTTCGTCCCACGATGCAATTATTCCGCTTTAATTACAATATGTTTCCATCAGTTCTTCCAAACAATCTTAAAATAAAACAGTTTTCTTAAAATGAAGTTTTTCAAATAAATTTAATAATTTTCAAAGCAACGAAGTACTGTCACTAATATAACGGCTAAGTTTTGCAAAAGCTTGATTAGCTGGTTGGATTTAGAGTTCAGTTGATTGAAGTATAAATATAATTTACATTGTAACCTTTAAATTTTCCATAATTAAATTTACACTGAATTAAATATTGCTATTTATCCTTTTTAGAAAGATTTTAGAATAAAAATTAATAGCACACTTTTTCAAGCAACTTCAAATAAGCTAGAATCAATGACAATATTCATTCAGCATAGAGATTATGTTTTTCATTTTATATCCCTAATTTTAAGTATTAAAAGGATCATGAATTTCTCTTAGGCCAATGTTTCTCTAACTATGGTCCTTATGGTCCTCCTTGATTTAAAAATAAATAAAAAAAATAAAATAAAATTCAAATAAACAGCGTATACCACATTCAAGGGAAAAATCACAGAATTTGAAAATTAATCGTCTATCACTTATTCTCCCAAGACCGACATTTTATGAAATTTATAACTTGTTAACCTACTTATGGACTTCTCACTCTAGTGTTATCAAAATTTCAAGGATTTTAAGCATTTTGAGTGCGATGCTTCTTGCCATCGCTTCACTGCACATCTGGAGCCGCTGGTCTCATTACCATTGAAAATATACTATAGTGAGCAGTACAGCTGTGCTTTAAAAATTATAATTCAATTTTCTTATCTGTGTGATAAAAGGTTTTGATCATAAACTCTAAAACAAATATACAGTCAAACCTGTTATTGTGCGGTAGATAAGGACTGCACAAAAAAAATTCAGAATTTTCATAAAATTTTTAACAAATAATTTTTTACAGCACATTGGAGAAATTATTTTTGTGCGGTGGAGACAGCGGCATAAAAAAGTTACATGTTTCATACTTTTCATTTTCGGCGTAATTTCTTTGCATTCACTATATTTTTCGAGAAAAATAATTAACGAAAATTTAGCATATACCATAAATTTTTGCATAAAAAATATCTATAAATATAATTTGAATGAAAATTACATGCATTATTTTTAATAACTACTCAAAGGTCAGTCTTTCTTCGAAATTCCTCCACGATGCCATTTCTCCCTTTAGGCAAACAGCCCTTGCATGCCTTATGCTATGTAATAAAAACTTAACCTGACCTATGTGCCTTATTACAAATATTTTAACATGCATAATTTTATATTTACATTTAGCCATCAAATTTCCAACTTTTGATTTAAAACACCTTTTAGGAAACATAACATTAATTATCAAATTCAAATCTTCTAGTAACTATAGTTTGGCAGAGCACTCAATACCTCTTATAGCGATTTTACTCAGCTTAATAATTCTGCGATAATATAATAAATAATAACTATCCATTTTACATTTAAAAATTAACCTCATTGTCATCAGATCAATAAAAAAAGGACCGCACAAAACAGAATGGACTGTACTCAAATCGATTCGATGTATGTGTCGATCTCAGACTAAAGCTTACTAGTATAGCATTAAAACACAGAACAGCTGTGCTAGGATCGGCAGGCTTCTCCATCTCCTCATTTGTGAGGACCAACATTTATTTCACTTTTAGTTAATAAAGAAAAGATTATCCAAACTCTGACAGCCTTGAATTATTAAAAACGAATACAAATTTTCGTCTATAAATTTAATTACTTAAATATCGATATAAAATTAAATAAATTTTTATTTAATCATATCTTAAAAATATAAGAATACTGGTAGTAACTTGCGTTAAAAAATTGCTTTCGAAGGGGATAAATTTAAGTGGTCGGCAGAATAATCTAATTTACACAAGGGGTCTCCACCTGAAAAAATCTTGAGAAATGCTGCCTTAGGCAATAGTTCTGGGGCATGATAGCTGTTATCTGAATGTTCAGGTTATTCAGATGTTCCAAACTTCTCTATATCAAGAAATATATTTTTCTATTTTTAGCAAACTTCTCTCCATCAAGAATTATATTTTCTATTTTTAGCAAACCAGTATAAAAATTACACTAACCAAATACAGCCTGTCATTTTTGGAGGTTATTCAAACAACATAAACTGTTGCTTTTGTGTAGAACTAAAATACTTCACCAGCTATACACCTGTAACCAACTTCAAAACATAGCAATACAATATATTTAAGATTTACTGCATTCATCTACATGTTCAAAACCCTACATTGCACGACACAGATAAAATTAAGCGTAAATTTCTCTAAATAATATATCTTTTCCACAAATGCATGATTGTGTTTTACTCTGGGGGACTGTTATATTTCTGAAAAAATGTATACTCATTATATTTTAGATTAAAGGAAATAGTAAAATATAAAATTAATGTTTGTATGTATATATCTGAGCGCGTACACACACACTTTGGTGTCGTTGCAAATTATACGTGTATATGTAATGAAATTAAATAAATGTGAAGAAATTGTTTTTCTTAAAAAAAAAAGCGTTTTTTTTTATTAATGTTCCTGTTAAAACATTTTATTCAAGCGGTAAAAAAGATATCACATTGCCCTAACATATATAATTTTAATTTTTATTTGATTCGTTTCGTAAATTTCTTCTGAATGCTTAAAACAACTTGTTTAAGGAAAGTTTAACAAAAGTGATGACGAATTTTGATAAATGTTTTCCTAATGTTCTGGTTAAATCAATCAGCTTTTCATGTTGTTTGAACAACTAGATCTTCTTTATGCACTTGAAACTTTGCAAAACACGATGTTCAGCTAAAAAAAAAAAAAAAAATAGTGCTTTCAGCTTAAGCTTGCCTTCGAATCTGTAATGTGTCTCAGAACAAATTCGCCAAATGCCTGTATTCTGTGACCAACGATAAGCAAAAAGTGGCCTTTAAATATATAGCAAGAAATATGTTGCTTTTGAGTTACATAGTTGAGTTGCATATTCGTCGAGTTACATATTTCATGTTGAATACCAAAAATGAACAGATCTGAAGGCTAGCTAAATATTGAGAGCGTTCCAAACTAAAGTCGTCAAAGCCGGCATTGCATACTGTGGCCAAAGATAAGCAAAACAATATCCCATTAGTATAATAGCAGGAAAAACATAGTTTACAAATTGACGAAACATTCAACTTCAATTACATGCAGGTGCGAAAAATACTAGACATTGCCTTTTTGTTACTTCAGTTTCCCTTAACTTGCATAACAACTCCCTTAACCCTCATGCTTCCCGCTATATATCCATAAGACATTTTTTGCTTATCTTCGGTCGTAGTATTTACTTTCTGCGTTTTACGATTTAATTTGGAACATCCTGTATAATATAATAGCTTTTCCCTGTTAAAAACTTTATAATGATATTATAGTTTGTTATTAATCACGATAACAATAAAAACTCCTCCTTCATTTTACATTGTTTGACTTATAAAATATTATATTTGGAATGCAAATACTTAGTCGTAGAATAAAAATGTTTCAGAGTCTAGTTGAAACTATTTACTTTAAATGAAGCATGTAAATGCTTGATTCCAAATTAAACAAGTGAAATCTTCGTACATATATTTAACAAAGTTCATTCTAAAATTCAGTTTTATTTTTACTAAGGTGATCCAACGGTGATTCAAACAGATATAGAAATTAGGAGTTTTGGTCCAATATCAGAAACAGAAATGGTAAGAAAACACCATGTTTTTGCTTAATGTGTGAATAGTTCATGACTGAAATGTGTGTCAGCATTGTATTTTATGCATCGTGTTATTTGTAAAACCATTTTATTTCAGCTTAAAACCTGATAGAATTTTAAAAAAAAGATAATTAAGCTCTAAGTTAATAAAGCGTTGACTGCTGAAGACGTATTAACAGAGTCTGCGAAAACTGAGTATACACCAAAATGTTCCAAGTAATCAATTCTGATTAAGTGCAATAAATGTTTCATCCCATATACCTAATAAATGCGTTCATTCATATCAGGTATAAGGATGTGAGACGTTAGGTATTTTTTGAAAGAAGGAGACTTGAAAAATGAGCGACGCCCTCGCCGGGAATCGAACTATGGACCTGTTGAATGCGCGCCCACCGGGCTGACCACTACACTACGAAGACATGCTAAGAAGGCGGGAGAAAAACCTTATAAAGAACCTTATAAGAAAAATGCAACTTGAACTTGAATTTAAATGAAACTCAAAATATTGAGAATGATGCCACAATATTTCTTCACGCTATTTCCAGCTTATAAATATAAGTACTAGAATTTAGTTACGTGAGCTTTAGCTCTTTTAACAACGTTCAGTCATCAACGGCACCGACTCCACTTTATGTTTGCAGCTGTACCGGCTGATAATTTCTCCCGATGTTCTTGCACAGCATTGTTCAAATGAGCTTTTTTCTTTATTCTATACTTTTTTTCACTTTTTTCGAGTACAGAATGTAAGATTTTAATGACTTTCATTCCCTTGGAATTGGGCAGAGGTGTATAGTTATTGCTTACAATGGCAAAGACCACATATCTTTAAGACACAATAACACGCCGAATAAATACTAACTCAGAAGTCAAACAACAAAAATCGGCGTTATATTTACAAAATTTTCACAGGACTAGTTTCGATGGTTTTACCGAACCACCATCTTCAGCTGCAAAACCGCAAATGAACAAGATAACTAGTCCTGTGAAAATTTTGTAAATATAACGCTGATTTTTGTTGTTTGACTTCTGAATTACCACATATCTTTATCATGTGTCATACATTTCAGGTTGTAATCTTATTGGAAACAAATTTACTCCCAAAGCCAAATTAATAGCATATTTTATGGTTTCTTCAGTGTTCGAAATTGAACAAAGGGAATATTTCACCACAAAAGATTTTAGTTTATAGAACTCGCTTGCGACGTTGCAGTCCACCTCCATCACGGACCAATCTCTATTTTTGACTGTTGGAATTAAAGGTCTTGGATCAAAAACCATATTTTGTTTTCTTCAAAACAATGTACCAACAATAATGACTAGAACTGTTAAATTTTATGTCATCAGTTTCCTTTAGAAACTTTGAGTATTCAATAACTTGTCTCAAAAACTGAGAAGAGCGAAGATTTCTTGCGACTATTCTACTTTTATATATGTTTTTCATATGATTAATAATCACGATTTGTGTAAAATAGCTTGCCTATATTTTAGAAGTTTCAGTAGTAAGCTATATTCCATTTAATTTTGAATACAGCTAATTTTATCACGTAGTTTATCGTTTTGACCTGTGCTGAGAAATTCAATCTTTTCTATTGAACCTATGCTTTTAATTAGTCCATCCATTTGAAATTGCTTGCTAACTTCCTTAATTCCTGGTTTACTTATTACGAAGTGTAATATTTTACAAGTATGGTAGTCTTTACCAAATCCTGATAGTATTTCACCTTTTATGATGTAAGCTTTAAGAATTAGCGGTAATTTAAAGGATTTTTTCTAAAATTTATTCTCAATAATTTTACGCTAATATCTGATATCTTTATAGAAGCTACTGAATAATAGCAAGTAACTTATTATTTTATTTATTTTTATATACTCGATAATCAAATGGGCGGTCTTTTATGCAAACTCGTCAAAGTTTTCCTGTTTAATGTCTGTAGCTTCCCATATTAATGTGAAATTTTGTGCACAAAGAAGTGTATCCTTGACTTCTTTAAAATGTCTATTTACTTTACTATATCTTCATTACTTCACATTAATTATTAAGTTACAAAATGATAAATTTCTATTGTTTGTGTGAAACAAATAAACTTAAATAACATTGTCAATAAGACAGATTTCCTTACTAATGCATGATTTATTTAGAATACACAATTTACGGGAAGAATGTGAAAGTAACATAAACTGAAAACAAAATTTTAAATATTTTCCCAATTTTCCCAGCATAAGTAAAAGCAAATGTATAAGATATTTCAAAATAATTGCACTTTTAAATGCAGGAAGAATAGCCGTAAAGCTATAATTTAAATTAAAGAAATGAAAAAAAAATATAGGCTCTCAGACTATGACAATTTCATTCATGCAACACCTCTTAGTAAAAGTATATGACATTTAATTTTTGTGAGGGTTCCGTAGGAAAAATCTCATTATTATGAAAATGTTTTAACTAAACAGTGACGAAACAAATTCATCCTCATATGATTTAAACTATTAGGCATATCCTTAATCAAAATTTTGGAGCACAGATATCTATGCATTTAAATTTTCAAATGTAAATTTCGGAAAGAAAACTTGTATGTCAAGAAAGCATAAATATATAAATAGAGGGGGTTTTCATTTTCAACTATAGGAATGAAAAAATTCAGAAATTTTTTATGTAATTTTCTTTCATACCAACTTTCAGACTGACATTTTCACTCCCAGTAAAAATAGTATATGTTCTATTAATTTTGATAAGTCTTTCAGTTCCAGTTTTACACATGTGTGAACCTCTTACCAGGCCTAAAACATCCTTAGCAGTCTAAGAAACAGCTTACTAAAAGACAATTTCTTTGTCCAAGGCATTTAAGAAATTAAAATTGTTATCGTTTCAATAAAAAGCACCCCACGGTCAAAAAAATCAATGCGCGAAACCTTGCCTTCCTTGATTTATTTCTTAAAGTGTAACCGTTGAGCCTACGACTAATCATTCAATAAATATTTAATCACACAATCCCTTTGAAACAACACATGTAAGACATATTGTTTCCTTTATCAGAAATAAAAGAGCATGTAGTAAATACAAGAGGAAAACTCAGAATTTAAAATCTCCTAAATTTAGTTTGATTTAGATTTATAGAATATTTATTGTGAGAGATTTTTCTCTCCCTGAAGGACAGGGATTTGTATCAAATTCCTTCAAATTTTATAAAACCTTTCAATAAAACCGAAATCAATTTAGGGTTGTGTTAACAGCTTATCCGCGTTATTAATGCAAATTTTACAGGACGAAGGGAAATTGGTTATATTATTAAAATTATTAATTCTGATCTTCCGACTTATTTTATAATTGGGAAAGATAACATGAACAATATATTGGTGTTCAATATTCAGACAGCTTTCACATTTGATCGATTATCTTCAGAAAGAATAGACAAATTTTAATAAAATATGTTATTGACATAAGTTGATACAGTATAAAAATCTATGCAACAGTCATGCATGGTTGTGCGTAAGGCTAATCGACACAGGAAGGTCATACAGCTCTCACAACTTGACTTCATCCTGCTGAAGCTCTATGATTTTCATTCCGGAAAATAAAGCAATTTATTAGTTCCAGTAGCAGTCTGTCCAACTCCTGCAACAAAGCTGTACAGGTCTCGGAAATTTCAGTGCTCTTTCAATTCCTAGAAGGTGTGAGGCGAAATTCAGTTCCGGTCCCATGACAGTCCCAGGCATGTTGTATAGGGCTTTAAGTCTGGAGATCTGGTTGGCGATCCATCCGATTAATATTCTCATTTTCCAGAAAATCATCCAGATTTGAGGAAATCATCTACCAGATTGCTACAAAGTTTGCGAGATTTGTCGTCCATAAAAATGACCTGAGGATCAACCTCCCCACCTGTTAATAATAATAAATTTAATTAAGACACAATAACACGCCGAATAAATACTAATTCAGAAGTCAAAAAACAAAAATCAGCGTTACAACGCTGATTTTTGTTGTTTGACTTCTGAATTAATAATAAATTTGTTAATAATATTTTCTAGTGAAACGGAAAGGTTTCCAGCCAAATTAATGGGTATTAGAAAGCAGACTGTAATTTAGGCATTTTTAGATTTCCTTCTTGCAAACAGTCATTTTGAATAGTGTTTCGTTTAAAACTAAACCGAGAATAACATATAATTTGACACCATTAAAATGTTCTAATCTGAGATTTAGATTTATATCAAACTCTTCCAGTTTTTTTTTCTATTTTTTTTTCCTTATATTTAGAAAATACACCTCCATAAAGGTGTAAATGCGTTGCAAATATTATTCACCTCAAAATTAATTGCTAAGTTCCCTTTTTTATATTATTTGGAATACTCCCATTTTCCGCAATTGGAAATTTTATGTTAAGAAGTAAAATCGCTTAAACCATGAGTTATTTTTCATCTATCTTTGATATATCTCTTTTCTTTGTATTTATGAAGAAATCTTCGCTGTTCATTAATTATTGAAATGTTTACGGATATACAAAAACGAACTTTCGTTAAAAAAGATATTTTCATATAATAACATAAAAAACACAACACATGAGAATTCTGATTTACATTCGGCAGCCTATAAGGTATTTCTCCCACTTTCCTAGCGTGCCTTCGTGGTGTAGTGGTCTGCACGCTGGGTCGGTATTCCAGAGGTCCGTGGTTCGATTCCCGAAGAACGCGTTTGCTCATTTTTCATCTTGCCTGCTTCTAAAACTATCCTAATGTCTCTACAAGCCGAGATCAAAATTTAACACATGCAAAGACAGGAAAAACTGGACTAAATTAATGAATTCTTCTTATCAGTTTCGAAGCTGATTAAACTTATTTAGACGGTTCTCTAAAAAATCCACATTTTATATTTCGGGTGATTAGTTATTTACGGAATGTAACAAGATTTATCAGTTAAGGAAAGGAATATCTTCGGAGATTTCTAAGGAAAGATAGCTGGAAATTACGGGAAGAGCCATAAAAACTAGCGAAGTCTTCCCGTTCAACCGGAGGGAACAGAAATCGGGACATAACTGTCAGTGTTTTACGAACCACTGGTGAACAGATTTTGCAAGCGATACCTTGATTATTTCCCAATAAACATAATTTTCCCAACTTTAAATTCCTGAGACCGGCGGTACCAGCATTGTCTAAGTCAGTAATCAGCTTCTGAAAAAAATTTTAACTTGAAGTCGTTATTTTAATGTGAGAGGAACCTACTTGGTTTGATCACATTCCAACTATTTCCCCATGGACATTTCCCCATCTATATAGTGTTGAAAATGTCCTCAAAGTCCAGTGTAACATAAATGTGGAAAGTCAACCGTCCTTCAAACATTCTTAATTTTGGATGGAAGTCACATAAAGACTGAGCGTCGACTACATTTTAGTCTCAGGGCCTTTGCGGAGGGAAATTTTTATTTCATTCTGCTACAGAAGTTAGTAGATAGTTTCCGGTATCTCTATTTAAATTAAGAATTAGAATATGAGTGGTACCTTTCTTGAGTTTGAATTTGGCGATCGTCTAACAAGATGCAATCTTCTCAAATTTTCTTAAGCGAGAGAAGACTTTCAGTTATACAATAATATAATCCTTCAAATTTTTACCGTCGATCCATAAACTAGCGAATTTTCAGATCTCACTGCTATATATTTACACACTTACATAGCAGTTAGGTCAGAATTGGTTAGGTAAATTAAGTCACAAGGCAGTGTAGTTGCCATTTGAATTACTTGCAGATGAAAATTTCTCTCTAACTTTAAAATTAATATTTAATGCAATTTCCTCCAACAGATTAATTTGCAACAATTTTCCATTACCTAGAAATGGATACTATAAAACTGGCTAATTATTCATATTTTTATTTCATATATTTTATTTCGCTATTATAACAAACATTCACTGGTTTAATTTTGAATATTGAAATGCTTATTAAATGGGACTGCAATAAAGCAGAATTTTTATTAAAAAACAGGTAATTAAGCATCAGGTAATCAAAACATATAAGAATTTTGATTTTACATATGGCATCCAAGAACAAAATTTAAAACCTGCAAAGAGAGAAAAACTTGATTTAATTAATTTCGTGTATATTTTAATTGATTAGTTAAGTTAGTAATCATTTAAGATACTTAGTGCCTATACTAAGAAAATTCAAATAAATATAGATTTTTAATCAGAGAGGAATGAACAAAATAAACTTCTTTCGACAGAATGAAATGGCAATTATTTAAATGTACTATAAGTTACTTTTTAAATCAGTTTTCTGAGTAAATTCCTTAATTTCTGAAACTATCAGAGTCTTAAGCTTTTATTTTAGAGAGGACCTTGTTTTGGCAGCAGAAAAAAAATATTGTGATAGTGTATTCGAAATTCCAGACATAGAAGTAATTTATATTTATGTAAAACGTTTTCTTTGAGGAACAGTTCTATGTCTCTGAAAAATGTATTCTTTTCTTTTTTGCATTTTATTTGAAGATCTACTCCATGGATTGTTACTTCCGTCAAACCTGGTATGATAAAAGGCTTCGGTTTCACTCTCATAAGGATGTACTTTCAATGGATTGGAAATTTCTTCAAAAAGTTTGGATTCCAGATACATTTTTTTTAAATGGTAAAAGTTCATATCTCCATAAAGTCACCGTTCCAAATAAATTCATACGACTTCGAAAAGATGGTCAACTCAAATATTCCATGAGGTAAGAAAAATCTTCAGAAATCGTAAAATTTTTAAGTCGCTAAGGAGCTGTTATACACGCAATATGTTATAGGCTCATTTTTTATGTAGATTGACTGTCAAAGCCAGTTGCCCAATGCATCTCAGAAAATACCCATTGGATACGCAAGCTTGTCCGTTAGAAATAGGAAGCTGTAAGTAGCATACCTCATTTATCCATGTTTATATGAAGTGTACATCAATAAACCTATATAATTTTGAGTTTTTTAAATCACTGAACCTATTAATTTTAATTTATTATTGATGAACGCTCACAACAATATACTGAAATGTTATCATTTTAAAGGAAAAAAATAATTGTAAAAAATTATTAATTTCTAAACATAATTATTTTTTTCACTTTTCCATATTTCTGAAGTGTATTAATTACAAAAATCACTAATTAGATATTAAAAATATTATTCCAAAGCACGAAGGTTAAAAACAGAAATTTTAAAAAATATTTTCTTTCGGTCCAATTTCATTTGAATGGAATGAAATTTATGGGAATATTCGTTATACTCGTATATGCAATATAGTGGTTAAGTTTACAAATATGTTTCTTTTTTTTAAATTGCTAAAATTCGCTATTATAATTTCTTGACCACACTGAACAACTGAAAGAAACCTATGGAAATGTGTTTTAAAATAACTGACGCAGAGAATTATTGCTTGAAAACAAAGGTTACGCTAAATGAAAGTTTTCATTATTTAATGTGTATGTATTTAGTACGATAAGCAAGATGATGAAAGAAAGGCATGCTGCTAAAAACAGAATGTATTGCTTTTGTGTGGGAAAACCTTTCTTCCTATCCCTTTCCCGTGGGATTTGTTTTTAGCACAGCAAGCAACGTGAGACTGTGCTTGAAAAAGAAAGAAGTGAAAAGTACTGATGAATAGTATGATTCATTTTGAGCTTCACACCCATTTATCACAGTGTTTTAGTATTTTTACTTGTGGCTACCGACATCGTCTTCACAATTCGTGAAAATCCTGGAAGTTGGCCATGATAACGTTAGCTATGAAATCTTTTGTTTTATTTTTTATTTTGCTATTTGTCTCTTTGATGGTGTTTAAGTGTGATGATATATGTTATTCATAGGTCGATCAAACATGAACATGCCATTAATGGCTGAACTTCAGGAAGAGCATTTGTGTGTGATTGGAAAGTTCAGGGCATTAGGTTGGGTTGTTTAGAATAAGGGAACCAAGCCAGCCGGCTTGCCTCGTGCTTCGTTTAAAAGCCCTCACGATAAGGGAGAAGTATGTGCGTATTTTAATTTATTATTGATGAACGCTCACAACAATATACTGAAATGTTATCATTTTAAAGAAAAAAATAATTGTAAAAAATTATTAATTTCTAAACATAATTATTTTTTTCACTTTTCCATATTTCTGAAGTGTATTAATACAAAAATCACAATTAGATATTAAAATATTATTCCAAAGCACGAAGGTTTAAAAACAGAAATTTAAAAAATATTTTCTTTCGGTCCAATTTCATTTGAATGGAATGAATTTTTATGGGAATATTCGTTTACTCGTATATGCAATATAGTGGTTAAGTTTACAAATATGTTTCTTTTTTTTAAATTGCTAAAATTCGCTATTTATAATTTCTGACCACACTGAACACTGAAAGAAAGAAACTATGGAAATGTGTGTTTTAAAATAACTGACGCAGAGAATTATTGACTTGAAACAAGGTTACGCTAAATGAAAGTTTTATTCTTTTTGTGCGTATTTAGTACGATAAGCAAGATGATGAAAGAAAGGCATGCTGCTAAAAACAGAATGTATTGCTTTTGTGTGAGAAAACCTTTCTTCCTATCCCTTTCCTGTTAAGCAAAGTGTAACTACAGAGTTCCTCTCCAGTGAAAGCATTAAATCAGGCAAAATGTATCGCATATTGCAGGCCCAATTCGAAAAAGATAATCTTTCATGGTTAAGAATGAAAGTTTAATGCAACGAATTCAAGAAAGACCATGAGCGTGTTGCAAATCAAGCTCATCCCCGTCGTCCTCACTGAATAATGATAAAAAATCTGCATGAGTTCACATTTCTCAATTGCTTCAAACTTGGTTTAAAGAAGTGGGAGCTGTTTTGCATAATATCGTCACCTATGACGAGATATGGGTGCATCATTACACCCCCATAATTTAGTTGCAAAAGCATGGAGTAGATAACTGCATCTCCAAGCACTGTTAATGACAACAATCCAGTACTACTAATGTTGTGTAGAGAATTGTCTGATCGCGTTATAAAAACTAGGTGAATGATTTTCTGATTTATGGAAATCTTATTTTTATTTGATTCTGAATTATTTATTTTAATGCTTTAATTTTGGGGAAAAACAGATGCTTCTGGGAATATTATTTAGTTTAAAGAATATTATTTATTTTTCTTTTATTTGCAATTTTTGTACAAGCTTTGATTCATTGTGAAAAGAAGCAGGGAAAGGTAGGCGATTCTGCTAAGTCATGATTTCGCGCACTTTGTCCTTTAGAATGTTCTAGTAGAAATTTCATTGTGCAGTTGACCTTAGGACAGGAAGTACGTGACAGAAGGGTCAGAGGTTGCCACTTAACCTTCGATGTAAGTCATTTCAGGTTGGCGATCGGAAGGTCCGGTTGTTGGCTAGGTGAAGAGGGGCGCGCATGCGCGTTCACCCTTATTTCCTCATTCAGGGGTTGAAACGCAAAATTTGCCCAAATTAAGAAGGCGATAATTGAAGCCATAGTGGGACCCCGCGTTTGTGAAGGAGAGGAAGAAAAATTCGAGTTTGAATCACTTTTTCGTACGAGACTTACTGTATGGATGTTACTTTTGAAACTTGCTCTTGGGTTGAGCGATAGAAACGATGTAATTTACGAAGAGAGGTGTTTCCCGGCGGGGAGCGGGAAATATGCTCCCCGGCCGCGTTTTGGTTAAGAGGCGAGATTGAAGAGGTATGAGTATTTGCTGAAAGGTTTAAAAGACTTTACTCACTTACTCTTGGAATGACTTTTCGTGAGGAACTTACTTTTGGACATTACTCTTGAAACTTGTTCTTGGGTTGAGCGATAGAAAAGATGTAATTTACGAAGAGAGATGTTTTCCGGCGGGGAGCGGCATATATGCTCCCCGGCCGCGTTTTGACTAAGAGGCGAGGTTGAAGATGGGCTAGTTTTACTGAGTGGACTTACTCTTGGAATCACTTACTGGGTGGACTTACTTACTTTTGGGCTAAGATTGTAACTTCGAGCTTGCTCTTGGGATGAGCGATAGAAGGCGAGCTGTAATTGCCTAGAGAGATTTTTCCGGCCGGGAGCTGCAAACATGCTCCCCTGCCGCGTTCTGGCTAAAAGGCGAAATTGAACCCGGGCGAGTTATACTGAAAATGTTTAAGAATCTCTTCCCGACTTTCCACGAGTTTTTTTTTTTTTTTTTTTTTTTTTTTTTTGCGGATGGATTTAAGACTTTCAGGATTAAGACTTGTGGCCCGATTTTTCGAAGCGGAAGACCAGGCGGACAGCCGTTGCTGGGCAGCAGTGCTCCTGTTCTGTTTTCCAGAGTGAAAATTGCTTCGTCGTTATGAAAAACAGTTACCTGCCGTGTTGTGTTCGCCAATAGTGCCAGGACAGGACGATGTCCTCTGAAACTTCCATTTGTAACCGTGAATCAGGCCGCTGACGTCAACGCTTATTAGGATAAGAGTCCTCCACTTCAAGATGTCCACCCAAGATAAGTTTTATTTTTGTGTTTGAACTTTAAGTAAAGGTTTCAACAACTTCCTTGGAATTGTAAAAAAAACGTCGAATCTTAAATTAATTCAGGCTTTCAATTGTTTCTCTTTCCCCTTCTTAATTTACCGAGACAAACCTAAAGTCTTTTATGAATAGGATGTAATAATTAAGTTGTTTGGTCTCCTAGAACAGATGTGAACTGCAAATAATATGTTTTCCTTAACCCTAGAAATTATTCGAAACGGGTACCCGTTAAATTATAAGGGTTATGTAATAGATGCAATCATGAATTTTAAATGTAACAAAAGTAAAGACAATTGAGACCTCTTCTTGATGTAGATAAGATTTGATTCTTAATAAGATTGTGAGGAATTTGAATAATAAACTGGTATTTAGTCTGGAAACCCATTACTTATGTTTTCTTTATATCTTTATATGTCTTCTTATATATATCTATATTGATTTTACATGTTATTTATTCGATCCTCTCACGGCGCGGTCCCGGATGCATTTTCACAACGCAATGCATTACCGTTTTACCTATACGATCACTAAAAGTGTGGTAATTAGCGAAATCTTAAGAGTTTAGTTTATCAGTTGATATTTAGTTAGTTATAGTTTCACCTGTCTGTTTCTGCATCAGTTTCCTCCCTAAGAGGAAGTTGTAACACAGCATTGGTGCCCATGATTTTTCGGCAAAGTATAGAAACAGAACATAGGTTTCTTTTACTCAGCACTAACAGGGTTATCTCATCTAGCGACGCGTGATCCTGAAAAAAACTTTTCCGAGAAAAGAGGTTCTTCTCTTACCAGTGGAAGATTCCTACCCGTAAAAGTTTCGCTAGAACCGATGTCCAGACTATGTACGCGGAATATTTTACGACTGTGGTGGGAATGTTTCGCCTTATGACGGTTTTCGCAAAGGAACTGGTTTTCGCGTAAGTCGACCAATCAGATAGCCCGAAAGTGAAGATTCTCCGTAATGTTTCTTTCGACGCTAAGCCACCGGTAACATTCATGTTGATAACGGTTTTAGTAAGCGAGAAGAATGCACTCGATTCACACTGCGTCATTTTTCCTCTGCCGGTTCAAAGCCGCAGTAGCTTTTGCTGTAATACTTATTCACGCCTCCTGAGCGTTCAAACGGTAATAATATGTATTGACGAAATAAATTTTGCTGACTTTTCAACTTTAATAATTTCAGTTAATAATTATCCAAATTAATTTCATGATGGCTTCATATGGAGTAACGACAAAATAATGTGCAATATTTATGATAACGATGATGATGATTGTAATAATAATACCTTGATCGGTATTACAATGCACTCTCAAATTTATCAAACTCATATGCATCTCAAAAGTGTTTATTCATAAATAAAAATGACGTTAAAGAAATCGCAAACATTTTTGGGCAAACAAGGATA